ATGCAAAACTGCCAAATTAATCACAGGAATATTTTTTCAAGAATCTTTCAAGTCTCATCCACTCATCTTAATTAAATACCGATCACTAAAATCGATAAATAATTAAGAATCCTCCCCAGTGGAGTCGCCAAATTGTAGGCGTCGCTCGAAGTCCGCCTACGTTAAACATGTTGTGAATATGCTTGGCACTCATAGGAAGTGGGAATTAACATTACGATTAGGGACAACGATTAGGGAAAAATAAAGCAGGGAGCCGCCAACAAGTTTTTAAGGAACTTGTAAACCGTTCACGGATCATAAAAGGCAACCACGAATAAAGGGACAACGAAGGCAACAACGATTGACCCGTGAAGGTTACACCCCAATCATAATCCATGAGATTACTAACTCCATATGGTTCGGAACCACGAAAGGAGGATCGGGGATGATGGTCCGAAGTGAGTCATGGAGTCACATTCGCCCGTATTGGCCTCTAGTCGATTCTTATATTGAAAAGCATTCATGTGATCTCAAAGGCATACAAACAGTAATGCAATTCGCTCCAAACTATTATTTAACTAAATTGGTTGAATATTAATGCACACATAATTCTAGAATATTTGTGATCACTTGAATTAATTAACAAGATTAAAAAGGATCCTAAACCGGTTGTCCAAATTATCTTATTAGGCGTGATTTTCAATTACATATTCCCTTTAAACATGCAATATGGTGATCATAATAAAAATAGTACAACATTAATATTAAAACCAAATTAATCACAATTCCAACAACATAAAATCGTTAGAAAAATAATAAAAATAAAAGGAGCATGACTCTTACTTTGATTTTGTTTGTTTGCAACTACAAAATAATAAACGAGTTAGTAACTTCAAGGAAATAATAAAAGGATGATTAAATTAAATTAAATAAAGTAAATTTATTTTGGGGCCAAACCCTCAAACAATTCTACCTTTCACGCCTTGGCTTAAGGATAGAACCACGAGTAAAGTATGGACTCCTTTGAGTACTTGAAGAAGGAATTTTGAAATAAAAAGGGTAGGCTAGTGTTTAGGCTAAAGCATAGAAGAGAGGAGAATAAAATTAGAGAATTACTCGGTGCCCCGTACATCAGAAATGAGGGGGTATTTATAGGAAGAATGTGCTGAGGGAGCACACGGAACCCTAAAATGATAAAAACCCTAAAAAAGTATCCCGTGACACGGAAAACTGTACCGTGACACGGGAAGTCCCTACCGTCAGACGACACACTTTCCCGTGACACGGTACATTTTTGGTGTGACGCGGGAAATTTTCAGAAAACGGGAAAGAAAACGCGTTAAGGGTTTACGCGGAAAAGACACGGAATGTCCCGTGTCACGGGAAATCCTACCGTCAGACGGGGAGGATTCCCGTGACACGGTAGGTACCTGCCGTGGCGCGGGAAATTCCAGCCCGTTTTTCCGTCTAAATACATTTTTAACCCTAATTTCCTTCGGCATTTAAAGTGCCGATTGATAATTTTGGGCCTTTTCTGACTTATTATTATTTGGGCTAAAATAAGAAAATAATAAAATAAAAATAAACAAATGGTTTGGGTCAAAAAATAAATAATAAAACAATAAAATAAAAAAGGTTTAGGCTAAAATTAAATAATAAGTTTGGGCTGAAATAAAAACTATGCATTTACCAAACATCAAGGTTAATCCATGGACTGTTCAAAAATACGAATTTAATCAAATACGATTTTTTAAGCACTCTCGGGACTAAATACTGAACCCGACCAATAGTGGCGATGAAAGGTTGTTCATCATCGGGTTTGGTTTTGGGGAGACATTTTTAGGTGTCTACAGCTAGTGTTTAGGCTAGAGCATAAAAGAGAGAAAAATAGAGAATTAATTTATGCCCCGTACATCAGAAATGAGGGGGTATTTATAGAAAAAATGTGCTGAGGGAACACACGGAACCCTAAAATGATAAAAACCCTAAAAAAATATATCGCAACACGGCAAAATGTACCGTGACACGGGAAATCCCACCGTCAGACGGGAAACATTCCCGTGACACGGTGTGCTTTTGTGTGACGCGGGAACTATTTAGTGAATGGGGGAGAAAACGCGTTAAGGGTTTACGCGGAAAGGACACGGAAACCCCCGTGTCACAGCAGGTTTCTCGTGTCACGGGGAACCCCACTGTCAGATGGGAAAGTTTCCCATGACACGGTGGACTGTTGCCGTGACGCAGGAGTTTTCAGTTCGCTTTTCCGTCTAAATTCATTTTAACCCTAATTTCGTTCAACAATTTAAGGGCCGATTGATAATTTTAGGCCATTTTATGATTTTATTATTATTTGGGCTAAAATAAATAAAAAGTTTGGGCTAAAAATAAATAATAAAAAAATAAAATAAAAAAGGTTTGGGCTAAAATTAAATTATAAGACAGTAAAATAAGTTTGGGCTGAAATTAAAACGATGCTTTGACCAATCATCAAGACTGATCCATGGACTATTCAAAAATTGAATTTAATTAAATACGATTTTTTAAGCACTCACGGGATTAAATACTGAACCCGACCAATAGTGGCGGTGAAGGGTTGTTCATCATCAAGTTTGGGTTTGGGGAGTGTAGACACCTAAAAATGTCTCCCCAAAACCAAACCCGATGATGAACAACCTTTCACCGCCACTATTGGTCGGGTTCAGTATTTAATCCCGAGAGTGCTAAAAAAATCGTGTTTGATTAAATTTGTATTTTTGAACAGTCCATGGATTAGTCTTGATGTTTGGTAAAAGCATAGTTTAATTTCAGCCCAATCTTTTTTTTATTTTATTGTTTATTTTTGGCCCAAACCTTTTATTTATTTTATTTGCTTATTTTCTTATTTTAGCCCAAATAATAATAAATCAGAAAAAGGCCCGAAATTATCAATCGGCACTTAAAATGCTGAACGAAATTAGGGTTAAAAATGTATTTGTATCGTAAGGGTTTTGTACCTAATTACTATGAGTGGATGTGTCATGGGGAAGGGTTTCCGGGAGTTCCTGAAGGACCGTCAAATGAATATCGTGAATTTGGTCATAATGAAGATCAAGGGCATTCAGAAGAGGGGGAGGAGGAGCTTAATGCACAAGCTAAGCATTTCCTGGATTTGTTAAAGGCTTCCAAACAACCATTATGCGAAGGGAGTTCATTGTCTGTGTTAGAGATGGCTGCCTGAATTACTAGTCTTAAGTGCGAGTATAATTTACCCCATAAATGTGTTGATGGGTTTTCTTCTTTGGTCAATGAGGCGATTCCTAACAACAACCATATGGCTGACACATTCTATGAGGCGAAGAAAATTTTGAAGGGGTTGGAGTTACCTCATGAAAAGATTCATGCATGCCCGAAAAGATGTATGCTGTTTTGGAAGGATGATGTTCAGCTATCTACATGTAAGGTGTGTGGTAGTGACCGATATAAGAAGACTTCTAAAGGTAGCTTAGTGCCTTTGAATGTTTTAATTTATTTTCCGATCACACCGAGATTGCAAAGGCTCTATGCAACCAAGAACATATTGGAGGAAATGACATGACATTCGAAAAATCCTCGAGTTCAAGGCACAACGACGCACCCTAGTGATAGTGAAGCTTGGAAACACCTCGACAATTGCTTTCCAGAATTTTCCAATGAGCCTCGTAATGTTTGACTTGGCTTGTGTACAGATTATTTTGCTCCTCATGGTAAGTTTGGGGGACAATATTCTTGTTGGCCTGTCATTTTGACCCCTTATAACTTACCTCCCTCAATGTGTATGAAAAGATAATTCATGTTCATTTCGTTGCTCGTTCCTGTTCCTAAGAACCCTAAGGGCAACTTGGATGTGTATATGCAACCGTTGGTAGAAGAGTTGAAACAATTATGGGAAGTTGTCGCAAATACTTATGACATTTCGAGGAAACAAAATTTCAATCTTCGAGCATCCATCCTTTAGACCGTTAGTGACTTCCCGGCTTATGATATGTTGTCTGGTTGGACCACAACGGGTAAGAAGGCTTATCCTTATTGTATGGATAAAAGCAAAGCATTTTGCCTTGAACATGGTGGCAAAGTTTCTTGGTTTGATTGCCATCGCCAATTCCTTCCAAGCACTAGTAGAAAAAACGTTATTTGTAACTAACAAAAATGGGCTTTTTGTAACTAACATTGGCCGTTACAAGTACTGGGGTTACAAATAGTCCTGTCAGTTGTAACAAGCATTGTCCGTTACAAATGGGTACCTATTCGTAACTAATAATTCAATTGTTAGTTACAAATAGTTATGTATTTGTAACGGACATTTAATATGTTCGTTACAAACATGTAAATATTTGTAACCCACAATTGATATGTCAGTTACAAATAAGTTCCTAGTTGTAAAGGACATGTCAATTGTTGGTTACAAACGCTCATTTTCGATATTAAAAAAAAACGTAGCAAATGCTAGGTCGATGCGACTTTTATTATTATTATTATTATTATTATTATTATTATTATTATTATTATTATTATTATTATTATTAATCCATAATTAAGGACACCAATTCAACAACAAAAAAAAAGAAGATAAAAATAAACATGTGAAACCCGGCCCACTTCCCCTACAACACACCGACAAATCCACCACCCTAAACCGTACCCCTTCTTCCCCAGCTACGACCACCATAAACAACACCAACAATCCAACACACACCAAATGCCGCCACAAAGCACAAAAAAAAACCTATCTAACATACAAATAACAAAAATTAAACACACATATTACGAAATCAAAATACAGTTATCAAAAAAATTAAGCATAAATAATCGAAAATTAACAGAAATTAAATACAAAAAAAATTCCAGAAATTCAAAATGAATATATAATTATACAATTATCTAAAAAAAAAATTAAAATTGAAATTACATAAAAAAAAATTAATTACAATTAGAAATTTAAAACAAACAAACCTAAATCTAATGTCTAATCTAAATTAAAATAAGATCCAAAATTCAAAAACCTTGTTGACAATGGAGGCTTGCTTTAACAGCGGATGCTCGATTATTAAGTGGTGTGTGCACGGTTGACGGTGATGGTGAAGCTTGATTGTATTGTTGACGGCTCGTGGGTGGCACAGTGTGCTCATGGGTTGCGGTGTGTGCTCGTCACTACTACAAAATTTGGAAAAAAAGACCCCTAATTAAAGACCCGTTATTTAACTAACAAGTCTATTTGATGTAAAATACCCAATTTTAATTATAATTGGTCTCTTATGTATATTAGGAAAAAAAAAGTATAAAATAAGAAACTCGTTGCCAAATCTAACGGGTCTCTTCATTATATTAGGTCCCACATTTTTTATAAGAGAAGAAAATGTGAGATCTGTTTATAACTGACGGGTCTCTTACATTAGCTCCTCGACTATAAGTTCTCTGACCTTTGTATGTGTTTGGTACTCCGCTTTTTTTTTTTTTTTTTTTTTAATTATCATTAAATCCCTTCAAACTCATTCACCTCTCTCTCTCTCTACAAAACCTCCGCCCAACCTTAACCCCAAGTCCTCCTCTTGTTATGAAACCACCGTCACTTCTTCTTCCCTTCTCCATTTCAAAACATATCAACCAACAATCGATTCAATATCTCAACAAAAATCATTAATCGCATTCAATTTTTCCAAACATCGAACTTTAATTCAAGGTCTACTTCAATTTTTCAAAGACAGGAAGAAGCTTAACCTCCTATGCTAATAGATCAGGAAATTATGAAGAATGGTTGTCTAATTGATGTCCTAACTTGCAATCAAAATTGAGGTCATTAATCTATAAATTTATTTTCTGCTTTCCATTTCTGGTATTGTTTGGGTTTCAAATTTATCAAAGAGCTCTAGCTAATATCAAACTTTATTGAAAGGAAAAAATGAATTAAAGTGTTTTTTGTTACCTAATTACTGTCTCTTTCTATTCCTGTCAGAGGATGAACTGGACTTGCCCTCTATACCTCGAGCATCCCTTCGTACTTAACAGGAATGATTTAACGGAGCAGGTTTGATACTTCGATCTACAACTCATTTTGCAGATTATTATTGTAGTGAACTCTATTGTTCCAATGTTTTGGGTGGTGGTGGGTTATTATTGGGAGGAGGTTGGTGTTTAATGTTTGATTTTTTTTTTAAATTTTTTTTTATGGTTTTGTTGGTAATAATTGAACCACATGTATGGTTTGCCTTTTATATAGAAAAAGAAATTGATGTTTGATATTGTAATTAGACATTCTTGAAATGCACATTGTTTTTAGCTGTTTTCATCTGCAACTTGAGAAGCCTGAATCAGATTTACAGTTTAGACTAATTTTCATTTTTATTTAAACCGGGTATGGACAGGGGGATTATGTTTAGAGTAATCCCCTCCTTTAATTTTGTAAATTGAACTGTATAACTTAAGATATCTCTAATTGGAGGTGCTTTATGCATTCTCCCGTATCTACATTCAATGAGGTCTAATGAGTTTTGCTTTGCATTGTACAACTTTTTTGTTTTTGATTTTTAATTTTTTCCGCTGACATTGTTGTTGTAATTTATGGTGTTCTTCAATTCTCCCCCTTGTCAAGTGGATAACTATGTTGTTTATTAGAGTGTCAATTATAGCATATTGTTTTCTTAATGAAGAGTATTATTTGTGTTATTTTTGTTTTGTTTTGTTTTGTCAGGTTTGCATGATTTCGTCCCACTATATTCTCAAACAAAGAAGATAATGGAGTATTCAAGTCTAATCTTATTGCTATATTTATAATTGTTGGAATGTTCTTTTTTTTTTTAATTATTTTTCTTTGTAGAATGAGTTTTTTTTTGGTACCACTTTAGTATGAATTTAATCCATTGCTAATTCTAAGGTCTTAAATTGTAACTTACAATTTATGAATTATCTGGCAATTTTAATGTAGCATAAAAACAAAATTTTCAAAATTCAAACAAAAACCTCCCAAACCACATCAAATAAAAAGAAAAAATAATTTTTTTTTTTAAAAAAAAGCTGGAGAACAAAGAGACCCGTTATTTGACATGATAGGTCTGGTAGATACCACTAAAAGACCCCATATCTCAAATAACAAGTCTCTTTTCTATCTAAATTATTAATTTGATCACTTATATAATAGACTCGTTATCACTTACAACAGGTTTCTTTGTTCTCACAAACATACCCCCCTATAGAACGGGTCTCTTTATCAAACAGAACCCTGAGATAGAGACCCGTTGTGAGGTGGTAGCTCTCATGCATATTTTAATGGGTCTCTTTGGAAATTTTTGTAGTAGTGTGTGGATGCTCGTGGAAACCGGAAAAAAAAAAAATTCTCGGAGGCCGATGAGACATCGACGGAGGATATGAGTGGGAGAGAGGGGATGTTCAACTCAGGCATATGATTGGGAGAGAAAGGAAAGAAAGAAAGAAGAGAGGAGGACAGAGAGATTTGAGAGGAAAAAAGAATGAAGGAAAAGGAGATCAGGAGGATACAGAGAAAAGAGAGGAGAGAGAAAGAAGAGAGGGGAGGAGAAGAGAGAATATAGATGAGAATAGAGAGGGGTGGTGGTTGTATGGTATTTAGGGTTAGGGGAGTTATGGGCTATGGGTGGTTAGACTTCCTATTTGTAACAAACATTCTATTGTCCGCTACAACTAAGATGTATTTGTAACCAACATTCTGTTGTTTGTTACAACTAAGATGTATTTATAACTGTAGGGAATATTTCAAGCGTTAATCCCCAAGCTTAAACCCCACTGTGATCATACACTAAAGTACGGTGGCGTCCAAAGGGAAAGAAGATAGAGCAAAAGAGTCGCCAACAAGTTTTTTTAGGAACTTGTAAACCGTTCATGAGGTGAAGGTTACACCCCTTAACGATCCAAGAGATCGTCAACTCCATAAGGTCTTGAACCAAATAGGGTTCGGGGATGAAGGTACAAATCCAACCTAAAAGAGATTGAACCTGCCCTAATAATAGGCCTCTACTTTATTCTGATCGTATTAATGTGCGCTTTCTGATTAACATACAAGCAATAGGATTAACCCAAAATCTGTTTATCTATGTTGGTTGAATATTAATGCACAAACAAAACTATTATTGACGATCACTTAAATTATAATCATATTAACCCCAAACAAGATTATTAAATATCTTATTAAGCGTGATTACAAGTATAGATTCCCTTTAAACATGCATAAAAATTGTGATCAAACAATAACAATAATAATCAAGCAACATAATAAACATAAACAATAATTATTATAACAATCATAAAATTATAATCATAATAATAATAATTAAAATAATCATGTTAAAGCATAATAAAAATAACAAGATCCTGGCATGATACTAACAAGATTAATAACAAATCCTAGCATGTCACTAAGCAATAAAAATCAAATCTTTAACCCTAACATGATACTAACAATCATAAATATTAGGAAGAACATAAAAGGCATCATAACAATCATACTTGATATTAAATCTACCCTAGACATAATACTAGGAATTTATTGTTGTCACCCTAAACATGAACTTTATATCATAACATCAATAAAAATCATTAAAATACTTACTTTGATGCCTCGTACCTCTTTCTAATAACAAAATACACGCGTTAGTAACTTCAAGGAAAATAATAAACAAAACAATTAAATTAAATAATTGAAAGAGAGATTTGAGACCAAACCCTCAGAAATTAAAACCTATCACGTTTAGGGCGAAGACAACTTCGAATATGGCTAGGTGTATCTAGATCTAATGAATGCAGAATTTTGATATGTTTGAGAAAAGCTAGTTTAGAAAAGAGAGAAAAAGAAAGATCAAGGAAATCTTGATGAGAATTGGTAGATTGTAGATGAGAATGAGAGAGAATTGATGATTGTAGGTGATTGTGAATGAATGTTGATGAATGTAGGGTCTCGAAGACGGAGTTTTTAGCACGTTATTTATAAAGAAAATCAGCCAAAAAGATAAAATATCAAACAGAGTTCTGGCGCACATAAAATCTGATTGCGCCAACGCTGGCTATTGGCGCCAGACGCCAACATTAGCGCCAGTCGCTACAGCTGGCGTTTGGCGCTAATCTGGAAATTCACGCGTTTTCTTAAATTCAGATAAAAATTGCCGTACAGGAGGATAAAATCGTATCTTCCTCAAAAAACGTTCTTTGATTGTAATTAAAACTCTGAAAAGTCAACAAAAGTCATTTTATCAATGCTAAATGAATTAGGAATGAAAAGAACCTTCTAGAAGAATCTAGAAGACTAAAACCATTCTTAATTGAATTAGGAATGATAAATCTATATTAGGCCCTCCTCTAGATCATTGGGCCGTATATAAGGCTCAAACTGGGCTCAGTTTAGTAAATTGGCCATAACTTCCTCAATATTCATCGGAATTGGGCTTATAATATATCGTTGGAAAGCTCTTTTCGAGCCCCATCCAACTACACTACTATTGGACCCATATCATGGACCAACCAAACTGGATTGGCTGTTTTTGTTAAAATAAATTTTCAAAATAGAGAGAAGAGAAAAGAAATTAAAACTATCCGCAACACTAGACTTTCCACACTTTCACTTCATTCGATTATGATTCGACGCGAAAGATACTCATCACCGGGTTTGGTTTTGGGGAGACACAAATGGGTGTCTATAATAACCAACATTTTGTTGTCCGTTACAACTAAGATGTATTTGTAACTATATTATATTGTCCGTTACAAATACTATTCTATTTGTAACAGACATAGCTAATGTTAGTTACAAATATAGTATTTGTAACTAATAAAAACTTGTTGGTTACAAATAAGGCGTTACAAATAGAATTTTTTCTACTAGTGAAGAGATCACCCTTTTCGAAATAGTAAAACTGCATTTTGTAAAAACAAAGTCGAAAAAGGTTCACCGCCACACATCATGTCAGGTGAGGAATTGTGGGAATGTGTGAGACACTTTCCAAAGGCAATTGCTGGGTCTGAGGCATTGAAACACCTCAAAAAATTAAAAAAAGGGTGGTTCAAGCAAACCTTATTGTGGGAGCTTCCTTATTGGAAGCATCTATTCATCCGTCACAACTTGGATGTCATGCACATTGCAAAAGAACTTCTTTCATCCGTTAATCCACACCATAATGGATGTGAAAAAGCATACATGTGACACGCCATCGGTTCAAAATGACATTGCCAAATATTGTAAACAGCCACAACTTTATCTGTAGGAGGACGATAGATGAAAAGAGTTCGTTTATGCCAAAAGCCCAATTTTCTCTTGACAAGGCTCAAAGAAAAGTGTTGTGTGACTTGGTTAAACTGTTGCGTTTACCTGATGGATATACCTCCAATTTGAGCAGATGCGTAGATTTACAAGCCTGTAAGCTTCATGGAATGAAAAGCCATGACTGTCACGTATTCATTGAGAGGTTATTGCCCACTGCTTTGAGGGAATTGCTCCCTACCCATATTTGGAATGCGGTTACACAGATCAGTCAATTCTTCCGTGATTTGTGTTGTTACACAATCATAGTTAGTGACATGGTGACGAGGGGAAAACTAGGTCGTTATCTAATCTTCCCTCGGTCAAACTAAATTTATAAACACTTAACAAACCTAAATATGAGTATAGAGGCAAGTCAAGGGTCGAACCCAAAGGAACGGTAATGTTCAAGCACTTTCAATTATGCGCCTAAGCTAGGTCGAAATCAAAGGGTAAAGGAGAATACTAACAACTAACAAAACAAGTAACCAAGGAAATAAAACACTAGGAACGGGGATCAACAAGTAATCATGTCAATTGCAACAACTTGGGAAGAGCATGCCAATCAAAGGTTGTGAGGACTAATGATAAGAGCAATCAATAGGAATCAAAGAGATATCTCCTAATTGTTAAGCTAGGTTTAACTAGAATAACAAACTAAGAGAATCACAATCAAAACCAATCGATAATTGCAATTCCTAAATCAATTGTTCATGTCATTAGAAATTACAATGCAATCTAGCATAATTCTCAAGGCCTAATTGAATTACACACATGAAAACCTTCACTAATCACTTTAATCTCAACAATCAATCAACATAATTCCCAAATTAATCACAATTAATCAATCATACAAGTTTCACCCAATTCCTAGCCAAACAACTATTCAAGAATCATCATCTATCAACTAAAAACTATGGAAATCAAGAATCAACAATATATCAAGAATAACTACACTAATTAAGCATCAAACATCAAAATCAATCCAAACAAACATGAAATTAAACAAAGCATTAAGGTGAGATAGAGTTAAGAATGCTCATTGATAATAGAGAAGATCTTGAACACAATTGTCACCCTTGTATCTTCAATCTCTCAATCACCATTAAAATCCTTCACTTTCTCTCTCTAAAACTACTCCTAATCTAGACTAATCTAGAGAGTGAAGCTCTCAACCTAAGAGAGAAAACTATTCTAAGACTAAGAATTATGTGAATGAATGATAATAAAAACCCCCAAAAACAATCTATAAACAAAAGGAGAAAAGAAGCTTAAAATCGTAATAAGACCCAAAAGCCCGCTCCCTCGGAGAAATCGGCCCCGCCCGCGGACACCCCGAAAGCCGCGCCTGCGGCCAGCCCGCGGAGAGTCACTACCCAAAATCAGCAGAAGTAGGTTGCGGCAGATTTGCAGGGCCAACTTTGGAAGGCTGTAACTCCTGATCTAGGAATTGTATGAAGGCGTGCGACCTATCATTGTAAAGCTCTTCAAGTCTAGTTTCCAACCCAACTAAATTCACCTCAATCCAATCTGTAGAACTCTAGATATGGCCGAAACAATGCACAAAGGTCCTTTTTAATACTTTGTAAGCCTTCATTCTCCTTTGTTTCTTGGATTGGCTTGACTTGCGTGCTTGGCTTCCCTAACTTGCCTCCATTAAATTCCTTGAATGCACTTGAGCTTCCTCCTTGATGATATTAAATCCTAGGAAGCTCGACACACCTACAAAACAAGTCAAACAAACGGAGAAGCGAGGGTAATAGCCGAGAAATGAATAAAATAATAAGAAAACCATTAAAAGCACGCATTTCTCTAAACTAACACACAAACACACAAATCAAGCATTATTTCTTAAAAACACAACATAAACGACTAAAAACAAGCATAGAAATATAAAGAAAACATAGCCTAAAGGTGCCATAAATAGTACGGATCAAATTCCCCCAAGCTAAACTTTTGCTCGTCCTCGAGCAAAATAAAATCCAACCCAAGGGAAAAATGATGAATTTATTCAAGCAAATAAGAAACAAGTAAGATAGAGGATGAGAATATACACTAACTCACTTTCGTAGGAATCACGGTTAGTTTTAGCAACTAAAGACAAGCCATTTAAACCCCTAGATCGCCCTAGAGGACGAGTGATGCTCTCGTAAAGGTTTCCTAAGAGATTAACCCATAACTCTCATAATAATACAAACAAGGCAAAGCATAAAGAAGGAAATCAAAAGAAAATAAGAGCAAACACATGTTCAAGAAAGGACTTTTTAAAATGTACAAGCACAAATGAATGCAAATCTTTCTAAATAAGTAAGGGAGTGCACGCTCCAAAATACCTAAGGTTGATTGAAACATAAATATGCTAAGCATAGGAACTAGTTATCACACTCCACTTTCATCCCAAATGGTCTTACCGTGTTCCCCCTACTAATCTCTTATATTCCCTTAGTGAGTGTCTCATAGATTCCATGAAGGAACTGGAAAAAGATCAAATTTTTGGCT